CACACACACACACACACACACACACACACACTACACACACACACACTCCCCAGCCACAGCTGGACTTTCAGGTGCTTGTGAGCTGCTCCATAAAATGGGGCTGGGAATTGAACTGAGATCCCCTGCAAGAGCAGTATGTGATCTTAACTACTGAATTACCTCTCCTTGTTTTCTGAGACAAGATCTCTCACTGGCCTGGGGCACACCAGTTCTGCTAGTCTGACTAGCCAGTGAGCCCCCAGAATCCACCTGTCTTTATCTCCTCAGCACTGTGCTTTTTTATGTGAATACTGAGACTCCACACCCTGTTGAGTAGGCAAAGTCTTTATCTGCTGGCCCCCATCCCCACCCCCACTCACCTGGCTCTGCATTTGGAATTCAAACCTAGGCTCAAATGTTCCTGAGAGAAACTCTTGCTGTAGTCTACATCTCAAGTATCCTCTAAAGGGTGCCGAAGGCTTGGTCCTCAGCTTTATGTCAGAATCAGAACCCTTTTATTTAGACAAAAAAGGGCAAGTGTTGTGGGAATTCGTTCAGTTCAGCCAATGACCTTTGGGCTGTCTGGCCAGATGGGTGTGGTCTTTTCTGGGTACTTGACTGGTTAAAATTGAGGAGGGGATGCCTGTTGGTTCTCTTCGGTGGTCGAGGCCAGGGCAAGTGGTCAAGTGGCAGAAAGCAGCTTGTGGTTGGTCCCCTTCCTGCCCAGGACAGAAGGACAGGACAGCGGCAGCGATGTCTTCCTTGTTCTGTATTAATGAGTCTGTTTCCCCATTGCACCTTATTAAATTTACACACACACACACACACACACACACACACACACACCCCTCTATGAGCTCTTGTTTCAGTGGAGTCTTTAGGAGATGGGTCCTAATGGGAGCAAGTTGGGTTGTTGGGGGTACGCCTTGCAGGGGATACTGGTGCCTTCCTGTTCTTCACTCTCTGTTTCTTGGCTGTCAAGAGGGGGAGCAGCTTCCTTCACTATCCGACCCACCATCCTCTGTTCCTTTGTCATCAGGCCCCAGACAATGGGACGACTCCCGTGGATTGAAACCACTGAAACTTTGAGACCAAATAAATGTCTCTTCCTTGTCAAGCTCAGCTAGTCCAGGAATTCTGTCCTGGGGACAAAACCAACTACTGCAGAACTCCTGGTCAGAAAGACGTTCAAAGACAGTGAGTTCATCCAATGCCCTCACCTTCTTTTTAAGCGAGTCTTTAAGGCAATGATATTTTTCTCCTTTTCAAGGCTTCAAGAGAAAGTTTTTGCAGCCACCTGGAGGAGCAGCAGGGAGCAGAAAGCGAGAGGCACAAGTCAAACCAGAGGCACGACTGTGCAGAGGAATGAGTGTTGAAACATTCTGGGTTCGTCTTCTCTGTGGTCCCCCAAACCGTCAGAACAGCTCTTGGTGACGTCAGTCTGGGAGTCTGTGCTCTTGCGTTTGGCTGGACCACCCCGGCTTTGCTTAATTAAAAAAAGGTGACAGGCAGGAGACCTCTGGACCGCTGGATGACCTGCAACTGTTCCGAGAGTCACCTACATGCCCTTGCCTTACTTTTGGCGTTGGGGTGAGCAGCCCTGCTGCACTTCAGTTTCATCACACAAAGTGGATGCTCACAAGGATGAGAGCAATGGAGCTCACATGTGAGTGCCGAACATGGCTATAGTTCTCTGTGTTGCTGCTCATGCGTCATTCTTATGTGAATACTTTCTTTGGATGCTTGCTTTTTCAAATGGGTTCTCATGTAGCCCAGGCTGGTCTTGAACTCACTACATAGCTCAGGATGACTTTCCACGCCTGATCTTCCTGCCTCTACCTCCTGAGCACTGGGATTACAAGAATGTGCCACTAAGCCCCATTTATATGGTGACTAGGCTCGAATCCAGGGCTTTGTGCATGCTAAATGTGCTGGTTTGTGTGTGTGTGTGTGTGTGTGTGTGTGTGTGTGTGTGTGTGTGTATGTACTTGACCCAGGCTAGAGTCATCTGGAAGGAGGGGACCTCAATTGGAGAATGGTCTCCATCAGATTGTCTGTGACTATGTCTGTGGGGGGATTTTCTTGATTAATGGTTGAATGTGGGAAGGTCCATTCTATTGTGGTGGGACCACCACTGGGCAGATGGTCCTGAGCTGTATGTATAAGACAAGGCACAAGCCAGTAAGTAGCATCCTGCATGGCCTTTATTTCAGTTCCTGCCTTGAGCTCATGCTCTGATGTCCCTCAGTGACGGAGTATGACCTGGGATGTGTAAGCCAAATGAACCTTCCTCCTCAGCTAGCTTCTGGTCACAGCATCTATCACAGCAATGGAAAGCAACGAGGGTATAGGCAAATGCTACCAATGGAACGTTCTCCTCAGCACCAAATATGTTGTTTCTTATGATTAAGAAGATAGACTACTGGGGCTGGAGAGATGGCTCAGAGGTTAAGAGCACTGGCTGCTCTTCCTGAGTTCAATTCCCAGCAACCACATGGTGGATCACAAACCATCTATAATGAGGTCTGGTGCCCTCTTCTGGGGTGTATTAATTAATTAATTAATTAATTAATTAATTAAAAAGAAGATAGACTACAAATGAATGTATAACCTTAAGGTATTTGTGTACTTAATTTTTAAAAATATTTTAAGTAAATTGTTATTATGGCGTTTGTGTATGGTGTGTGTGTGTGTGTGTGTGTGTGTGTGTGTGTGTGTGTATGTACATGCACATGCATGTGCAGTCACACACATGCATGCAGGCCCACACCATGGTGTGGGTGTAGAGATCCAAGGCCGGCTTTCAGGAGCTGATTCTCTCCTACTGTGGGGTCTGGGGTTTGAATACGTGCTGTTAGCTTACATGACAAGCTATTTTACTGGCTCGGCCATCTGTCCCACCAACAATCCTTTTCTAAGCAATAATTCAGAATACTGACAGCATTCCACACACTGTTTGGAGTCCCAAAGCGCAGCCCCGCACTCCACTGGAAATGCGGCTCGCTCAAATTGAGACGTGCTATAGATATAAATTATACAGCAGATTCCAAAGGCTTCACGCAGTAACAGAGTGTAAAAGGTCACTGGAATTATTTTCATTTCGTTGAAATGTCATGACTTGGACGCGTGGAATTAGAATAAGTTATTAGAATTAATTTAATCCAGCCCCATTAAGGTTAATGTTTATCTTTTTAATATGGCTGTTACTCTTTCAGCTGCATTTGTGGATGCCGTGAGAGAAGGGTTAGCAACCCTCCCCCTGACAAGGACCCAGGGCCCTCGAGCCTGTGCGACACACCTGTTGGTAAGGCCTGGCCGCCTCACCTCACCTTGGCTTTGAGGATGGAATTAACCATGTAGTGAGCACAGGGCTTCTCTGGGGTTGGTGGAGATTTTCTGGGACTAAACAATGTTACTGGTTTTGTGTATGGTGTGTGTGTGTGTGTGTGTGTGTGTGTGTGTGTGTGTGTGTGTCTTTTCTTTGACTTTAAAAAAAAGTCAAAATAAAGTCAAAGATATGGTATTAAGACTGTACTAAGTGTCCCTAATAGTAATTAAAAAAAACTTTAAAGATTCATTCATTTGTCTTGTGTGTAGTGTGTATTTATTGGTGGGCACATGCTTCCCACGGCATGCCTGTGGAGATGGAGGGTGCCTTTTGAGAGTAGGTTCTGTCCTTCTAACACATGGGTTCCAGAGATTGAACTTAGATTGGTAAGCTTGGCCACAAGTATCCTTACTTGCTTGAGCCATCTCGATGGCCCTTATAAAATTTTTAAAGCCATATCTTAACACCACAACAATTGACACATGCCACCTTGTGCTTCTGACATGTAATCCTTGTTTAAAGGGGTAGAGGGTATGGTTTCCTGCAAAAGCAGGTGCCTAGAAATGGCGGGGGGGATGTGTATATGTCGGGCTGAAGATGACACGTTTGAACTCTCCTCCCTCCCTGGTGAGAAATGCTAACACGTGTTTTGAGTTTTACCAGTGCAGTGGCTGGAGACCCAGCCTCTCGGGCTCCAAGCGCCTTCATTTCTTCACTTCACTTCACCTGCACACTCGGCATTCTGCCCACAGTCGTGTTTCTCACTCAGACTATCCTTTCCCTAAGAGTCCTCGCAGTTTCTGTGGTGTTAAGGAGTCAGTGATCTTGACAATTAAAACCAAGTAAAGCACCCGAGTCGGGCTTAAGGCGCCTGGCCTCCTCGTTCTGTAAGGCAAGTTGGTCTTTTATCCCCTAGGTCTCTGGAATTCTGCTTCTTAAGGTAACTCACAGAGAGCAAAACTTATGTGTGGGTTAGGGCAGTTACCCTGGGGTGGGGTTAGGGAGCGCGGGTGCGAGGCGAGGGGTGGGGGTGGCTGTCGGAGGATGGGAAAGGCTTCAGACTAGGGAAATACTCTAGGCTTTGGCTTATTTGATTGTGTCCGTTTGGCGGAGTTTTTTGAGGCTGTGAAGCTGTACATTTTTTTTTTTTTTGAATGCATGTTACACATCAACTAGAAGTTAAACACCTTGCCTGTGAGTACATTTTTTTTTAAGTGAAAAGCCCTGGTGTTAATGAATGAGAGAAATGACCACAGGGGGGCGCTGTATCCCTTTCCTGTGCGCAAGAGGCCCTCCCCAGGGTTGCTGGAGTTGCGGACCCGCCATCCTTAGAGGAGAGATTTGTGGGTGAGTGACCCACCTTGGACAAGCCTCCTGAGTAACTTATGTCTGCACTTGAGGCATCCACACACAGAGAGACACAGACGGAGCCGACTTTTTCTTTTTAAGTCTTGATTCAGAGCGCTGGCTGCGGAGGATGGGAGCGAGGTGTTGCAAGCTCACTTGGTGGTCCCGTGTAGGTTAAACACCTAAGGAATGCCACATTCTTCGGAGAAATTAAGATTCCTGCCTTGCTGTAAATAGACACCCACGAGGAGATGGGGCAGTTCTGGAACGGCCAGGCCCTGCTGTTATCGACGGAAATCCTGTGTGGTGGTAAATATGGCCCTCGGAAGAGCCTGGAAAAGAGATTATGGGAGCAGAGAGGGGCTGAGAATGCAAATGTGGGAGGTTATTGGCTAGATAGTGGCCAGGAAACCAGGGACTGGGGGCGGGGGCGGGGCGGGGGCGGGGGGAGTTGGGCTGAAGAGCATCAGAGGAAATACGGAGGAAGAATAAATACACGAGATAAGCGGCTCCCTCAGCTTCCTCCCTTGTTGGCCTTTTGTTTTGCATCCAGGACTCTGGTCCTTCTGGGTCCTCTTCTGGGGACAATAGCCTGGAGTCTTGAGAAGCAGGCCTGGCTCCCACCTCTCTAGTCTATCCCAAATCTACCGGGCCTGCTTCCCTAAGCAGCCAGTGGGCAAGGTCTCTCCAGGCTCAGGCCTGTGCCGGCCCGCCCCCTCTCCCCCTCCAGGGACTAGAACACGGGGCTGTGTGCCTGGCTGCTCTTTCCAAACATGCACACATGGCCAGGACCCAGTGTTGGGTCTCAGATGCTGGGGGGCTCAACAGAGCTTAATAACAGTGTTGGGGACCAGGGACGTGACTCAGGGTAGAACTTGGCACGATCAAGGCTCTGAGTTCCACGCCCAGCACTTAAACTACAGAATACGTGGACAACAAACACCAATGTGGCCATGAGGAGAGCATCCCCTGTCTTGGAAGGGAACAGAAAATGATGGGGTGGCTCCACACTGATGTGCTAGTCGGGCCCACCTGTCCGCTGGGAAATGTCCCGAGTTCCCCCAGCAACGTCCCAGATTCAGCTGGAAAACCTGTGGCTCTCTGAGGCAAGTGAGAGAGACCCGAAGGTGACAAGAAGGGCCTCCTGGCCGCGCCCCAACTCCACTCTCTGTGTGTCCTAATCTTTGCGGATCCCTGTGGGCACCCAGAAAACAGGGGAGAGGCTCAAAGCTCCCTGCAAGGCTGCAAGAATCTAACAGTCAAGTAAATATATGCAAGCACTCTTCAGTGTGCAGAGCACTGAAGTGTTAGGTATTTGTCAGGACCACTAGCCTACACAGAGCAGGATGTATAGGGATGAGCTCCCACCCCAAACTGAAGGAACTCAAGTTTGTGAACAGTTGACTTTGACCTTGGAGAATCACAGAAAATTATTCCTCTGATAAACATCAATCATCTTGGTGCCACCAAGGGCCCAGTGCTGCAGGCTCCCCCAAGAGGGGAATGAGGCACCAGAAAAGCCAAGCCACCCAATGCTGGCCACTGGTCCTTGAACTGTGACTCTGGGACTCCAATCTGAGAACTCTTTATTCCATCTATGGGACATTTCCATATTTCTCAGCCTTGTGCCCCCAGGAATCATGGGATAATACAGCAGACTCACTTTTTCAGTCAGCTCCCAGAGAAGATGGCTTGTTTCAACCCACGCCAGTGAATCCTCTGTCTGCTGGGGCTGCCCCTTAACATGTACAACTCAGTTTGTAACGGGAGATTCAAGACAGTGCCTATGGGATGAGGGAGCCAAGGGGTGAACGCTTTTGACTGTTCGTCTGCCTTATGACTGGCCTCCATAAGGACTGTGTCATGTTGGAGGCAGGGGATAGCATCTTAGGGGCTTTGGTTAAATTTTTGTTGCTCACCACCTATGTTCCAGCATGGTGGTAGTTATGGACAACACAGACATAGACAAATGGAGCTTACGAGAGGTCAAGAGCAGGGGTCAAGCAACGAAATATATATGTTGTTAGACACCAGTGAGCTGCCTGAAGCACAGGGCACCAGGAAGACATTTCAGCTGAGCCCCGAAGAGAACCGCCTCAGCCTGGTGGAAGTGTGGTGGTGCTGGGGTCGGAAGTGCAGCAGAGTGTTCCAAAACAGTGACCAGTCTGTGTGTCTGCCCTCTACAGAAAGGGTCAGAGGGCCATGGGGAGTCTGCTTATACCCACCTCAATCTGACTCCTGCATCCCAACACCTTCTTCCTCTGGAATTCTGTAGAAGATTTCTTGACTGGACATCCAGATGGGGCGAGATCATGTCTAATGATGAGGCCCTCCCACTGGGCACACTTAGTACATTTGTAAGCCCCGCCTTCCTACCCAAAGAGAGAAATGTTAAGAAAATACACATTCTGAATTTATTATAGTTACTATGACTCAGACAGCTGAAGGCTAAAATCTAATGGAGTTTTCCTAAGATTCCTTGGGGGATTTGAAGGATTCTTTTCCCACCAGCCATAGAAGGAGGATTATATAAACACATTTCCTCTGGACAGAAGAACTCCCCTGAATCCCAAGTCCTGGAGATTTCAGTGGTGGAGGCTATCCTACAGACTCCCCTGTCTCCACATCGGCCTCCCTTTTATTTTATTTTCTGTGTCTTCCTCTTGTGTAGCAGTGGCCGAGTGGACAAGGAGTTGGCTGTCATTTGGTCTTGACCTTGTCCCTTCACCAAGATGCTGTCCCCTTTTATTTTTTATTAAAATTTTTGATATTTTTGAGAATTTCATATATGAGTTCTAGATCTACATCATTTTCACCTACCATTCTCCTCTTCCAACGTCTCTTTTCCCCCACTCCCTCTCAAATTCACAACCTCTTCTTCTTTCATTATTATTACATATAGGTACACACATATCACACACACACACACACACACACACACACACACACACACACACACATCTACTACTGAGTCCATTTAACCTTGCTCATATGTACGTGTGTTTAGAGCTGACCACTTGGCTTGGATACTCCAGATGAAGAGCTCCTGGGAATCACTGTCCTCTTCCTCTTTAGACTCAGCTTCTTCAAATGTGGAGACTAGATCACAGCTTCCTTATCGCTTTAACGTCCCTGGTCCTCATGATGACACTCAGCCAAGAGGCAAAGGAGGTGAGATCCATGTGAGACACCAGGATTGGTTGAAAAATCTCAGGATGAAGTTGGAACAAAGCCTTCCTACTCCTCAGGTAACTTAGGCAGACACAAAGCAGACACCAGAAAAGGGTCTTCTGTTTCTCTCCTGCTCAGCCCCTTTTCCAGAATGGCTCCACATTACTCATGTTGTATTTCTTTCCATAAGCTCTTAGAGCTCCAGGGTCTTCCTAGCTTCCCAGCTGAGCTGCTCTTCCCTACAAGGATTTCTGTGACTGTCCAGACCAAGAATGCAGTCTCCAAGATCCATAACATCAACCAGACAAGAGGTCTTGGGAAGACCCTCAGAGACAGTGAGGACCATGGCCAGCTCAAGGGTTGTGTATGACCTAAGAGGACTGATGTGAGTTGGTCTCTCTTGAGAAAGAGAGCTGATCAGGTGTGTCAAGAAGACTTAAGATGGGAATTGACTCAAGCAGATATGAAAACCTGGAAGGTTCACCATGTGGTACCTGCAAGCTAAAGAATGAAGAAGGCCAGCATTTTCATACGGACTGGGTCTGAAGGTCTAAGAACCAAGCCAACTTCTGAGGCAGAAGATAGAGAAGAAGAGGAGATGGATGTTCCAGCTAAAAGAACCCCAGAATTTCACCCTTCCTTTCTATTCCACGCAAACTCTGGGTAGATGAGATGGTGTTGCCTGCCATGGTGGGGGTGGGTCTTTATCATCCACCAACTCAAGTGACAATCTCTTCCAGAAACTCCCTCCTGGACACACCTAGAAATGATGTTCTGATTAGTTTCCTGGGCATCCTTGAGCCTAGTCAGGTCAACACACAAAAAAATTAATAATCACAGAGTTTGATTTCCACTAAACCCAAGTCAGAGTCACTCTGGAATAAATGGGTGGTGTTGCCATTTACTCTGCTTCCACAGATGCTGAACACCCACATTTTAAGGTCAGATAGAGAGAGCTCAACTTAAAAAAGAAAACACAACACGGGCTGGTGAGATGACTCCATGGGTACTGGTGCTTGCGATGCAAGCCTGGTGACCTGAGTTCAATTCCCTGGATCCCGTGAAAGGGTGGACGGAGAAAACCTGCTCCACAAAGTTATCCTCTGACCTCCACATGTGCACTGTGGTGTGTGTGTGTGCATACACATGTAATTCATAAATAAATTAAATAAATTTAGAATCAACTCATCTCCAACAAACAAGAACAAGCATGATCTAGGACATAAGCAAAAGTCTGTGGATCAGATTTAGCCAGTAGCTGCTGTCTGTCTTTGAGGTCTATCTTTACAAATTTTACAGGACTCTGTCTGTCTCTTATGCTGTGTTTACAAGGCCTATCATGCTTGGCTCTGCAGCCATTCATGAACTTTTTTACTTGTCACCACCTACAAGTGGACGTTGTGGGATGCTGGGGAAAAAACAGGACCTGGCACACTTGTATAGAAGGGACAGCAGTGTGTTCAGATCAGTGTCTGCTGGTGTCCATCCTTGGTTTATCCACAGAGCCCAGATATAACTCCATCATGCAGGTAGCACACAGGGCAGGTAGTCATGATTTATTATACATTTTTTGAGACAAGGTCTCACTGTGGAGCCCTGGCTGGTCTGGAACTCACTGTGTAGATCAAGGTCAACTTGAACTCACAGGAATCCACCTTCCTCTGCTTCCCTAGTGCTGAGACTAAAGATGTGTGCAACCTCACCTGGCTTGCTCATGATTTCTTGGGTTGTGACTTGTCACCTACCAGGTAACTAAAACCATTTCACTCAGTCCTATGCGCCCAGCATCTCACAGAGCTGACACAACATGGTGGTTTAGGAAAAGAACCGAGACAGCTAAGTAAACAGCCCAGTGACTGCTCACCCTTCAAGGCTGTGGAGGCAGAGGAGGGTCCCCTGTGGTCCTGAGAGCTGTCTCTCAATTCTGGTTCTGTAAACCCTTTGTCAAAATGCAGGCCTGTGACCTCAGCATGCAGAGGAGGCTGGGGCAGGAGTCAGAGATCAGCCTGGAGGACAATGTAGAAAAGCTGTCAACAGTGGAAAGCAGGGATGGCTATAGAAATGACTGTGTGTTGTGAGAACCCAAGCGCAAATCCTTTGCACCCACATAAAAAGTGTGGTTGTGTGTGCACATCTGTAATGCCATTGCTGTTTGGGGAAAAGAGAGGACTGCCTGGGCTTGCTGGCTGCCAGCCTCACTCCGGGGTCACTGAGAGACCCTGCCTCAAAGGAATAAAGCAGAGAGTTGACAGTGTAGGGCGCATGACATCACCCTCTAGTCTCGTATGATCACAGATGTGTACCCCCCCCCCAGATGTGCTCAAACACAGCAGAAAATAAAATAAAAATTCTGAAGAGAAGTAAGATGCAGAACAAAAGGGAATAAAAACCTATCTCTAGACGCCAAGTGTGAGTTCATTAAGGAGACATCAAAATGGGTGACCTCTAGTGGGCTATAAAGGGCTACAAAGAATGGGCTTTGGAAATGGGCATTGATGGAAATCTTGGTGGTGGAGAAACCATGAGTTTAAGAATCAGATTGGCACTGGGCTGTGGTGGGGTACGCCTTTAATCTCAGCACTCCGGAGGCCGAGAGGCAGGCAGATCTCTGTGAATTTGAGGCCAGCCAGGTCTACAGAGTGAGTTCCAGGACAGCCAGGACTACACAGAGAAACACTGTCTCAAAAAAAAAAAAAAAAAAAAAAAAAGTCAGATTGGCTTGTTGGTTGCTGGCCTATGGTTGGCCCACTGGGATCTTGAACAAACTATTCCCTCCACCCAGACCTCAGTTTCCCTACTGTAAAATAAGAGGTGGGTAGACTCTTTCCACAGTTACTTCTGGCTTTCGCAGGCTCTGCTTCCCAGCGACAAAGTGGTTCTTTGGAAATGACATTCCCTGTCAGGAAATAAAACACGTGAGTGGACATGAGCATGCCTCTCCTACAAGGGTAGCCAGAGCTCTGCCCACTGCATACAGGGAGTAGATAACTGCACCCTTGGAAGATTCCTTCCTTCAGAACTCAGACCACACCAGAACCAGCCAGGTTTCCACAACACTGACTATTGGTGTATTTTTCTGCATTTCAGTCCTTTTAGGCCCAGTTGGGTGCCTGTCTGTTCACACTGCAGCATGCTCTCTAGCTGGAACTCCAGGCAAGAGCACAGGCGTGGGCAGGGTAAGGGGAAGCTTGGAAGAAGGCTGGGAAACTCTCCCTCAGGGGCCAGAAATCTGGCACCATCGATGCCATTAAGTCTATAAAATCAATTCCCTCTGGGATTAAGTGCTTGCTTGATATACTGTTTTTATCACTCAGTGAGTCTCATTAATTGACTTATTCAAAATTTTCACTTGTTACAGTTGACTTCTCTGGGCTCATGGCTTGTTATATTTCTTCCTTGGATGGTATATCAAATTTCAGCTATAGCAACTCATTTATTTAAAGGGAACACACCCAACCAAAATCAACCAGCAAAGCTTGCTGTTTCCTCCTTAAGCTTCTTTCATATGAGTAGACAACTGTCCACTGCATGTATTTTCTAGAACAGGGAATTAGACGTGCATTCAGAGTCAGAAGAGTAAAATCCTCCACCCTCGCTGGGGTGGAAAGCAGAAGCTAGCTGGGCAGTTTCCTCTCACAGTGCCTTCACCGAAACACTCTGCAGTGTTTGGGCCTTGGCAGTCATCACAGGGAAAGGTCACCTCTGGAACTGAGTTGTGCTGAGGTAGAGGTTCTGGACAATGCCCAGAGGAGCGAGTTTGTATAGGTGTGTTTAAAGCAGAATTACATCACCTTGTCGTACCTTGATACACGCCCGCTTTCCCAACTCACTTGGAGGCCATAAAATCGAGAAAAGAGGTTCTTGACCCTCTGCCAAGGTATGCACCACCAGTGAAGGTAGCTAAGAGTCTCCAGCGGACATGAGCTCAGAAGAAATGAAACGGGAACACAAGGAACACAAGAATCGTGAAAGAAATGCCAAAAACCAGAGGAAGCAGAATTAATGGACCAAAGAGAACAGGAATGTAAATTAAACTTAATAAATAGCTTCAAAGTCTGAATAAAGGATATTGGAAACATGACACAGAGAATAACTTCTGACCTTGGGCCAAATGGAAATTCTGGATGTGAAAAATATATAAGAGAAGAAATAAAGAACTCCCTGCTGGGTTAGAAAGGCCTTTTATGCCCTTCTTGATTTCTTTAAAATTTATGATTGTTCAAAGCAAACTATCTACTGTCTACAAGATGGATGCTTTAAGAATAAGACACGGATTGAAAGTAAACAATCGACAATGATGAGCTAGTGGCACAGGAGAGCTTTATTAATTATAGGTGATTAATATGCTAATGTCAGACAAAGCATACCTCAAGAGTAGACATTATGCCAGAGAAAGGAAGTTTCATAATAATAAAACATGAATTCATCAGGAAAGCGTAATAACTCTCTAAGCGTGTATGCATGTAATGATAGCTACAAAAGACTTGAAAGAAATTGGCAGAATCAGTGGGAACAAAAAACCAATTCCACAATCAGAACTGGATACACTTTTTTTTAATGACTTAGAAATCCAAATGACCAGACAAAACTCAAAACAGCAAAATTACAGAAGATCTAGACAATAAACTAGCCTATTTTGATCTGAAAGACGTTTATAGCCTTGTAGCCAACCCCGAAAGATTACACATTCTCTTCCAAGTGCATGTGTAGACTGGGGGTGCAGCTGAGCTGGGGTGTAGCTGAGCTGGGGTGCAGCTGAGCTGGGGGTGCAGCTGAGCTGGGGTGTAGCTGAGCTGGGGTGTAGCTGAGCTGGGGTGTAGCTCAGCTGGTAGAGTGCCTGCCTAGCATGCATAATGTCCTGGGTTTAACACCCGGCACTACATAAATCAGTGTGGTGGTATATACTTGTAATCCCCGGACTTTCAGAGGTAGAGACAAGAGGATCAGTTCATGTACATCCACACAAGCAGGTAGGCCAGTCTACCCTTTAGGCTTAATATACCTTAGTTTGTACTCCTCCCCCCCCACAGTGGGACCACACAGACCAAGATGTGGAAGTGACAGGGTTGGGTTTGTTTTGCTTGTCATGCTCACCAGACCATGACCAGCAGAGTTAGTTATGGAGGTAGACCACCAATCTGAAGGCGTTGAGGCCTTGGGTAGGACCCATCTTTCTGAGGCAATGGAGAAGGGATTAGGCTGAGGGGAAACTGAGGTAGGATGCAGCTTGTGCTCTCCTCTCTGTCCAAGAGAGGCCCATGACAAATCCTGGGGTGCTAGACCCACGGTTGGGTCTTCCAGGTGGGACTGACTAAGGGGCAGATGAGCAGACAGGTCTGAAAATAGAAGAGAGTAGAGGGAGTGGGGAAAGGCAGCTCCAAGCTCATCCAGGAGATCTGGAGTCTGAGTGGGGGACATTCCAGGCAGGGGAGAGCCTCCCCACTTATGCCTTCTCGGTCCACTGTCTATTAACTATTTATTCCCAGGATTTGAGGGTTGGACCCCAAAGACCCTCCCCTAACCTTATACATGTGAATCTAGCAATAAAATTCTCTAGCAGCAGCAACAGTGGCAGCAGCAGCAGAAAGAAGAAGTAAGAGGAAGAGGAGGAAGAGGAGGAGGGAGAGGAAGAAGGAAGAAGAAGGAGAAGAAGGAGAAGAAGAAGGAGAAAAAGAAAAAGAAGAAAGGGGGTATCCTCAGCTACATAGCATGTTTGAGGTCAGCCTGGGCTATATGAAACATATCTCAAAACAAAACAACCAAACCAAACCAAACAAAAAACCTCATGGTGCAGCCGGAGCATTTGCTGGGATGGTATGTGGGATTATGTGATAAGTCTGAATGCATTTCAAAAGACTGAAACATTTTTGCTGTAACAGAATTGGATTAGAAATCATTATCAATAAAGACTATAAAGACAGATATGAGTCCATATAACTATATAGGTATTTATAGTTACAGTGTGCATGTGGAGGACGGCCCTTTATTAAGTCTAAGTTTCTAAACCCGTAGTAAATACTAGCTAAGAAATTGCAGAGATAAGAAAAGAAATCACCGACATGGGAAAAACAATAGAGGCCATTAAGAAAACAAAAGAAATGGTTCTAAGAGATTAATGAGAGGAAGCATGCCCACAGAAAGAGTTTTACAAGCATGTTTGTGAGAACGTTATTCATAAGACACAGCAACTGAAAACAACACAGCTGTTTATAGATAAGCCAAACGTGGTGTGCCATACAATAGTATCTGATACAATATGAGGAGAAGAAGAATTGTCAACAAATGCAAGATCCTGGACCAGGTTCTCCATCTTGTTGAAGGACAGAAGCCAAACAGAAAGAGCAGATCCTGGATGATTCATTTATATGTTCTCAAGAGCAAGCAAAGAGACAAGAATCAGCAGTGAATAGTATTAAAAATGGCTTCTGTAGGCGGGAAGGTGGTTGTCCAGGGAATTCTTTGGGGTGGTAGGAATGTTGCCCATCCTGAGGGTTCTGTGAGAGAGATGAGTGCATGAGTTTATCACTGCCTGTGGAATTGTACACGTAAGATTTATGCATTCACTTCTAGAAAGTTTATAGAGAAAA